CCTTGAGCATTCATCCTTATGGGAATATGAGAAAAGAGTCAATCAGTTTTTTTTAACAAGGATATCTTAAGTACTGATTCCATCTTTATTTATTTTCTAGTATCATTGTTGTGGTGTTGATACAGCTTACGATTACAGTGATTCTCATGTTCCATTATCTTGCTGTTCAATGACTTCAACAGTATCATGTACAGTTCATGAAGTTGGTTTAACTGGTACACCAGGATGTTTGCCTATTTTAACAAGAGCAACATTCTTTTGGGGAAAACTTTTTCTTCTAATTGAATTTAGTTTATGTGTTTTAGCGGTAAGAAAACAAAAAAAAATATGAAATTTGATTTTTAATAATTTTTATATTTAGTTAATTGGTGTTTTTCTTGCTATATGTGTCTGTCAAAATACAATGTTATATGATGATTATGCTCCAGCACCATATCATATTTAATATTTCTAACAAATTAAAACGTTCTTTTTTTCCTTTTTTTTGGTGAATATATTTCAAGTAGATTTTTAAGGACTCTTGTATTAATTTATCTTAAGTGATAAATAAACAAATGTATCTATAGAGATTATGTATACTTATATAATATGAACTTAACAAGTTTGACCAAGGACAATTTTTTTATTTAAACTCTCTCGATGATCATTTTATGTTCTGAATAGGATTTATTAAAAAAAGAAGTGCTATCTATTTTTCTGTAGTTGTTCCCAATGGATAATGTTGAATGACATCCAAGGTTAAGTGTCATACGTAATTTCCTGGTATAACGTCCTTGTCGTATTCAACCGGATACGAAGATAAAAATTTCCGATTTCACGATGGTAGATACCAAAAAAAACATAATTATCTAGATCTTTTTTCTTAATTATAATTTGTATTTATTCGAACTTATGTTATTTCATCTAAATACTTCCAACTTGTCAAGGACATACGATTATATCATTAATAATTGACTTATTGTTCCCACTCCTAATGACATCATTGACAATATATAACAACAGAGAGAAACTATTTCATTGTGTTTTTCGTTCTATTCATATATAATTACTGTCAAATAATCAGTCCTTCGAATAGACAAAAGTCTTTTCACTTTCATAATGTAGATGATATAAAATGTTATTAACTGAAATAACATTATATCATATTAATTTGATAAATCATTCATAGGCACCATTAATAGAATATCGATTGTATTTTATACTGTAATAAATCTAATGTAAATACAAAGTGTAATATATTAAAATAATAGAAACTGATTGATTCTTGCTTCTCAAATTCTTATCTTATTATATAAATAAATCATCTATTGATGGTTATCTCAAAAAAGACTTTTTGTTTTATCAAACAGCTGTGTTCTAAAAAAACATTTATTAAGTGATTCTGTTTTAAACATTCGAAAACATATTTATTTATACATAACAATTGGCTTACAATATTTTACACTACAATAAAAATAATAAATTATTTATCTCTAAGTACATTTATATAAAGTCACTTACCAATAAGTTTTTTTTTCTTCAATATCATCCAATTTTATAACTAATATTTACATCTTATAGTGTGACTATATAACTTTTACAGAATGTTATAAACTAATGAGCATATTTACATATTACTGTATAAATTACCCCCAAAAGTGAAATATAACTCGAGAATAATTCAATGTTAGTAGCCCCAGGATACTCGGCATATTCTCCTTGTAAGAGAGGCAGATCAATATGAAGGAAATAGAAGTAATAATACTCGTGTAACGATATGCGCTGAGAGTTATGTATTACATTAGACGAAGCTAGCTAGCGAATCATGCAGCCATGTGCCGATATAATTTTTTGTCACATAACCCTGCTATGGGGTCGATATGCTTCTTGCAATAGTGAATTAGGTTACATAAACAAGAGCGTTAATCGTACTTGAGTCTTAATTGAAGGCAAAAAATGAATAAATACATGGATCTAATACATTAAAAGTGTCATTGTATATAAATGCATATATATTGAACAATGAAGTATTTTTAGATCATTCAATTTCTATCGTTTTTATAGATTGAACGCAATATTGTAAAAATAACAATAATAAAATCATATTGTTATCTTTTGTGATCCTCTCATATGAAGATTTTCAAAGCATATACGAAATTTTATTTCATACTTCTTACCACAAATAATAAATATTTGATTTTTGATCGAATATAATTATAGATTTGTTGATAAAAATTTTTATTTTATCGTTATAACTATTAAATACGTATCGATAATCGATTGAACTAGAATATTAATTTATAGAACTTGTATGTGATAATCAGAAACCTTGAGTTTATTTCTGACTCATTCTTTGTCCTCTTTATATTATTATTCAAAGACATAAAATGGTATGTATGTAAATTTATCATTGGCATATTTGTTTTAACATAATATTGCGCTAGAAAAGAGATACATTCTTTATCTTTTCTAATGACTTATTGCTCATAAGAAATAGTTTTCATAAAATAAATCAGTCAATAAACTTCAACGTCTTTTTGATTTGTTTGCATAACAAATAAATATAGTGAGATAATGTGTCTATGTTTATGTGTACTGTTTTTTAACGATATTTGAGCTTTCTTAGCTAATGGACTTTAACAACTATTTTGAGTCATTGCGTACAGCACCGAAAAAAATCTGAACAACATAATTTTCGGAGAACAATGTTGGTAAAAGTCATACGAGATTACATACTATATATTGTACTATGGTGAGGAAATTAACAATATCGAATTATAGAGCAAGAGTTTTACTAATATATTCTTCTTCTTTCAATATTTATAGTGCTTATAGAACATTATCGACTATGGGCATTCATTACTTCAACTACCTAACTGAAAAAAAAGACGATACGATAATTAACAAAAACATTATTTTCAATCAATATTAGCCAATTGAGAAAAAAGAAGTTTTATTCTTTCGACACAAAATGATACAACTTTATAATTCAGAATAACTAAACAATCGAACACTAAAACAAAAATGATCTTTTATAATTCTAATGGTCGATAATATATAGTAAAGATATTGCTTAACAAATTATATATACAGTTCATGTATATCTAATAGAACGCATAAAAATAACAAATGTCACGTTTTGTATATTTACCGTTGTAATTATAGAATCGAATCATAACTCTGTTTGTTGCAATACGAGACATTGATTACTATTGATATCTTATTTATTCTTCTATCATTTTTATATACTACACAATTCTAAATGTTTTCTTTGTTTACTAATTATATAATGTCTTGCATTTTATTTCTCTATTACATTGTTTAATATCAAAATAAGTCTGATTTATAAGAGATGACATCTTTCGATTACATATATAATTGTCTGTTTTTGATCTAATTTGTATAGATGATTTTTCAAATAGCACATTTTCTTCTGCATTCGTCTGATCGTTATAATGATACTTACATTTATTGAATAGTTTTATTGATAAAAATAATCATAGTTAGCTGTGGAATGTTTTCAACTAAATAAAATCTATTTCGATTATTAGATTATCATACTCATTGACAAATAAATCTGGTATAAATGAATTTGAATCTTTCAATACAACGTACTTTTTGAACCCTACCATCGATTCTAAGCAAAAAAAAAGTCTTAGTAGGCTTCGAAAATTTTATTATGGAGATTAGTAATATTGTGATTTTTTATTCAGTCCGTAATGAATAATTATAAAGCGTTAGTATCGGCACATGTCGCTAAAGTTTTCATTATTCCTTCATTGTTAGTTGTTCGTTATTCTCTTATCTTTTATATATAGTGTATAATATAATATTTTTCCTTTTTCGCTTTCTACACATATATATGTGTATAGGAATACATTTTCCCCACTTTCATATATTACAGTATAAGTCTAGTGTTTGTCTCAATTGTTTCCACTGATTTGATACAATAATATTTTTATTATGTTTATATAGATTAAACTAGAGAATTATATACATTAAACCTCCATATGCATATTACGATTGTTCGAATTTTAGGAGAAATTTTTGTGATCAGAATGATAATTAAATTATAAAAAGTATATTGTATCACAAACAATCAAAATATAATCTTAATAATGACGCTTCAGTCACATGTAGTACACTTGATAACTATATTATGCTTTAATCGGCACATACGTTTCGGTTTATCACACAAAAAGATATTATGACTCAATCAACGCCAGAACCGTGGTATTCATTCGGTAGCAAAATTTTTTCAGCCGTTTTTTATTACTATTCCACAAAGTAAGAACAACATTAGGGAATAATCAAGCACGTTTGATTGAATCTTATTCAGTTACATAGGAGACGTGAATTCTAAAATTAATCAAGAAGAAATAAAAAATATTGTTACCTTTTTACACACTACTATTTACAATCGTGGCCACATATACTTCCGCTGCAAATGTACTAGTTCAATTTGATGATCTTACGATTAATTGATAACATACGTTGATAATTTTCAAAATGTAGAACATCATATGAAGTATTAATGGAAATAATGATAATAATGTTATTGAAAATTTCAAAGGAAAACTTGTCATATCGATAAAAGGCATATCGCATTTACAGCTCGACGTCAAAAATCAATCTTTCTATTTCAGCCCATATAAAAAAAATTTAATTGGTCCTGTATGATTATTGATTCATCGCATCATTTTAATTGTCATATCTGATAAGCAAAATTATAGGTTCGCAACAAAACACTAAATATCCCAATGTGTGGATGAATTGACTCTGGCTATTTTCCGATACAGTTTAATTAAAAATCTACATTTTCTAACTACCTTATGTACAACAATAAGCCTTTTATTCAATTATTTTATGATATAATACCGTATCTAGATCATGATTGAATTAATTGAAAACTTAATTACTAAACGTTTTCAAAAGAAAAACTGTCTTTTCTCCTGTATTCTGTAGCTAAATATATATATAAATAAAGTATAAACTATACAATGATTTATTACATGTATTAATCATACTGAACATCGTCTTACAGCAAAGCTAATTTGAACCGAGTTAGGTGAGTCATATGCTCTCATTGTTTTGTTTCTTTCTTCACGATTTTGTTTTTTCCATTTAGCACGTTTTTTTCTCGCTTGTTTCCAACCACTAAATGTTTCCATACAAGTACAAGAACAAACAGATGTTTGACTGGAATGTATTAATATTTGTTGTTGATTTGGTGTTCTTCCAGATACTAGCGATGCTGTTGTTGATCGTTGTTTATTTATATTTGTTGAACAAATAACATCGCCTTTAAGAAGTACAGCATGACTAGCTGCTTCTTCTTCTCGAAGTTTTTCAAGTAAACGTTCTTGAGAATAAAATGCAACAATACGTATAACAAGTAAATTCATCAATGATGCTACAACAGTTAAACCAAAAAATATAAATCCCATACAGAAAGAAAAGTATTTAACATGACGAATAAATGTTCTATCGTTGCCCGTTTTTTGCTATTAAAAAAAAAGAGAAGTATTAAAAAAAGAGATCATAGTTTTTCTTTAAAGATATATTTACGAGAGTAACATAATCACCAAAACCAATCGTTGTCAATGTTATAAAACCATAATAAAAAGAATCAAAAAAATGACCAATTTTCAAATTTAGAAAAAACACATGCACCAATTAGAAGTATGACAATAGTTAAAAATGATTCCATAATAAGTAATTCTCCATCAGTTATTTTCGTTTTTTTTCATACGAAGTGATTGTTTGATTTTTGAAAGTATATAACTTAATAAAGAATTTAATCTTTCACCTGCTGATTGAAATGTAATTAACCACATGGGTATACCTAACATTGCATATAAAATACAAAATATTTTTGCACGTTTTGTTATTAATGTTCGATGACCATAGCCAATTAGAGCCAAAACAACAGTTGAAAAATAGAAACTATCATAAAATTGCCATTTATGACGAAGAATAGTTTTATTTACAATTAAATCTGCTAACTGGCGAAATGTTTCATTGGTCATATTGTGATCAAGTCTAAATTGAGCAAATTTCCGTTCAAAATGACGCTTTCTACAAATAAAATTAATGACAATCAATATTTTCTGCTTCATAGAACGAATTACCGATCTATTGATGGTGCATCTTCTAGTGCATCGAATACACATGCTCCAATAATTAAATATGTAAATGTACAAACGATGAGTGCGGCTGTGCGAATATTTTTCTTTTGTATTTGAAATGGATCATTTATATCTTCTGGTGCAAATGGTTTTTGATCAACAGGTAAATTTGGTGGTTTTGTTAATACAAGTGTTCGATTACAATTCAGATCAGTTTTTAAACTCATCACTAAAAAGAACTAGATAAAAACATAGTGAATTGACAAATAATCTTTCCTATTCTTTCTCAAAAGTAAATAGCCTGCTCTAATTGTAAAATTATTTGTTTGATTCTAAATAATGATCAATGGTTTTACTAAACTATGTCCGTATCTTTTCCTATTCAATGTTTCTGTTCTTTTAACGTTGACAGGTAGATAATAATAGCTGTTAGCTCAATCTTTTACTTTTATTAGATGTGTCCTACGTGTATATGCTTTCCGATAAGAAACGGAAATGAATCGGATGACGTTTTCTTCGGCACTATTGTCGACACCATTTTAGAGTGGTGCGTTGTCGTTTACAAAACATAAAAAAAAAGAGAACATATGTAATCATAAATAACGACAAAAAAGTGGCACATATGTTCTCATATCATTGAATAAGAAAAAATTAATAAGATAATTAATAGTTGTATTTAGATGATGTGATGTATATTCGAAATTTTCAATACTTACTAAATATATTGTCTAATTAGTTCAACAAAGAACAAACATGTCTCTGTCTATTCATGGCATCAAACTGCGAGCGAGAAGACTTCTTTTTGTGTTAATCAAAAAGACAGAACTGATGATGATGATGATGATCAAAAGCAAAAGGGAAAAGAAAAAAAAAACTCTCGGTTGACTGGAAGATAGCGATAACGGAGGATAGAAATTAGACTAATCAGCGTCTATCGATCGATAATCAATTGAGCTAGCAAATGATAAAAAAACCAAATAAATGATGTTAGCAGATGCTTTCATAAAAATGAACATATTTAATTATATGACATTTTGTTTTCTTTATTCTTAGCTATCTTATCGTCTTCTAACTTTGTTATTCAGTAAAGAAAGACGAAGAAATGACATTGGAAAAACTGTTAATGATCATGATTACATACTCATTTACTTTTCCTATGGTTTAGCTTATTTAGCTATAGATTAACTAAATGTATTAGTTTTCATCATTAATGCATGTTTTCTTTTTCTCCATGATTCGATACGCTTGACATAGAGAATACGTGTATAGTATAGAGGGAACTATCTACTTATTGGCATAACGCAATAGATAAACAAATTCTGTGTCTTTAGGGCAATAATAACAATATTTTAAAGAGATTTATTTTTGTTCTCGTACTTCTTCACCGATGGAAACATCATCATCAACAACAAAAATAACAATGTTTTTCTTGATCCTGAAGAATCATTTAAGAAAATGATTAAAAATAAATCAAGAGAACGAGTACTTCTGTTGTAATTCTAAAAGAAAAATTTGTATGTGGATCATTTCTAATAATAAGAAAGCGATTTTCTTAAATTGAAAGACAAAATCTTTATTTATTCGTTGATAATAATAAATAGTAGTATGCAGAAGAATAATAAGATGACATGTAAATTAATTTAGACATTCAGTAATATTTGTTTTCTGACGCATCAAATTTCTTTTTCTTTGTTCTGTATGATAATCGAAATTAAAATATGCATCCTCTTAAGTTTCACATAAATTAATTATTGACATTTACATTTCGATCTATTTCTAGAAACGTTCAAATATTTGCAAGAACTATTGACTGCAATTATTGATCGTCTAGTTATTTATGTATCTATAGAAAAAAATAAAGTGACAAATTGTATATGAAAATGGCAGTTGTATTAATTAATTAAATATTTTGATTTTGATTATTTGAATATATTCGATAATCTATTTAAGTACATGAATAGACATACAATTATAAATTATTATTTTATAAAACAAAATATTGTTTTTTCATTAGATATAAGTATTGAGTCAAAAGAAAAATGTATATTAAGAGTTCGAAGTATCGATTCAATATTTGTCAATAATATAGAATGATGCATAGTGTCTGCGTTTTATCTCCTTTGTATTCAATTGATAATAATGTCATTAGTACATGAAATGTTGAGCTTTGCTACGATTTGATTGTTTCTCATAAAGTGTTTAGAACTTTTAAAAATATGTAACTAAATGCTCGTTTACTAATCACGTTGTCTGTATTATATTTAGTATAGCTTGAATCACTATTAGAAAGATGATCTTCTAGCAAAAAGTATAATAAGCATGAAAGAAAGATTAGACTAATGATTTCATGTAAGTAAAAAGAATTTTATGATTATTATTTTTATACTGATTGACTCGTACATTTTCTTTTTTTATCTAGATTTCCAAAAGACGGTATTGTTCATTTGAAATACATTTTAACTGTAGAATAATTTTTTAATAATTAAAATAAGAGGTGTTTTTTTATTACGTGTTCTCAACAAAATCTAATTATCATTTGAAGTTTCATATTCAAATTAATCTGTTCGAGTTTCGAGTATTTAAGATGATGTTTTATATGACATTTTCTCCAATATCAATATAACATATATAATAATTACAATCTTAAAATAGTTTATTCGGTATACATAGATAATAAAACCGATAGCAGAAATAATAATTCCTGACATTAAATCAAAAAGCAATCTATATCAGTTCTTCACTTGATAAAGTTTGTCTAGTCACACTAATTAGATCAAATTTGAATTATTTGTCATTGTTTTTTGGTGCGAAAAAGATCGATTCAATCTTGTCATTTATTATTCTAATGATATAACAATGTTTTTTATCTCTTTCTTCTTTATTAACTTTCCATATTTAGTTAAAGTATTAATCAGATATATATATACGACATAAAATCATTATAGATCCAATCTGTTTGTCATATTATCTCTAAAAAGTAGATTAAATATAATAAACTATAATCAATGGTACTAATAACAGTATGATACATCTTCTCTTATGGAAATAGTCTTTGAGATTAGTAAAAATTCGATATTTCGTCGAAAATTGAAATCTAAAAATACAACTACAATTCAAAAGAGGCAAAGTAAATAAACAAATAATACAAAATTTTTCTTTTTTTCTTGCATACAGCTTCAATAATATAACAATCTTCTCGTGTCTACCAATCCTCGAATTGTTTGACTATTACGTGAAACCTTTTTTTTACTCACATAGCAAGATGATTCATTGTATATATTAATTCAGAGAAAAAGAAAACGAGTATACTATTCGTAGACTTTACTTTCAATGGTAAAAGAAAATATAGCAAATAAACACATAAGTCTTTACTTACAACCATTTTCTTATTTTTTAAGTTACCTAGGTAACTGTTATTTTTTTACTCTCCTTTTTATCGACAGACTTGATAAAGAGTGTCATTTGAAAAAAAAACCTTACCCAAGTTCTATAGTATTTGCATGGCAAAACATTCACGTTTTACAGATGATATTTGGTTTACACCAGCTCCAAGTGCAGCTCAAATTCCTGTTCGAACTATAGATGATTTACGTAATGAAATCTTTGTTTCCAATAAATATGAATCACTCAAACAAGGTTTATATACAGCTGAGGAAATGAAATCAAAAGATTTATATGAAAATTATGCACCAAATTTTAAAGATAAAAATAAACAATTTATTTATAAATATATTAATGAAATACGACATTATTCACCATCACCAGATAGATATTTATTAATAACAAGATGGAGACCATTTATGCCTGATGTATTACCTGATAGTTTAACACGACCATCAACTAGAATTCGATTTCAATCTGATGTTTTTAATTATCAATCATGTGGTGATAATCAAACAGTAGAATGGTATTTAAATTTTGCAAATCATGATCTATTTGCTTACTATGGTGGACCATTATTAGCACAAGATGAATTACAAGTATTAGAATGTATTGAATTAGCAGCATTAAGAGAATATTTTGTTCAAACAATAAATACAGTCGGATCATCTACAGTTAGTTCTAATCGAAATAAAACTTTACCAACACCTAGTAAATTATTATTTGTTAATTTAATTCTCTTATTATTTTATTCTTTCAGTTTTAATAAGTAATACTGAACGAGTAATTCAAATGGATACTAGTAAAGTTTATGGAAATGCTTTTGCTAAAGCAAGTGAAAGACAACTTATTCAAGCATGTAAATACCTTGACAGTTCTCAAAAAGTTAATTTAATAGCTATTGAAGCACCAAGTCATGGTCGTGGTAGTTATACTCGTGATCAAATTGATTATATTCTTCTTACTTGTTATGTTGGATTTAAAGCAGCACAAATACTTGCTAATAAAACTCATGCATTAAATACATCAAATCAACGATCGTCTAGTCGAAGTGAAAATAAACATTTTCGTACAATAATTCATACGGGATGGTGGGGTTGTGGTGCATATGGAAACAATCGACGAATGATGATTTTAACACAGATTCTTGCAGCATATTGGGCTGAAATTGATGAACTTGTTTTTCATACACAATCAAATGACTATCAAGGAGATATAGATGCGGCTCAAGAAATTGCTCATCAATTATTGAAAGAAAAACGTGTTGATGATGTTATTAATCAAATTGTCAAATTAAATTTACAATGGGAAAAATCAAATGATACATAAATGATTGAAAACATGTCCTTCTCTTTTTTTTACTCTAATCATGAGAAATTTTTCAATTTAGAAATTGTGATTTAATGATAAAATAAATTTTCTATTACTATTACCTCAACTTTAAATTGATTCCGAAACATTTAAAATTATTTTATAAATGTTTAGTTTTTTTTATTTGGTGAAAAATTTTTCTACTGTAATAGTTATAGATAAGATATGAAAAAAAACAATCTCAAACTTTGTTTTTATAATAATCTAGCCACGACGCACAAAAAGTGAATAGTATAGCAGATACTGAAATCGTTATCATTCCTTATAATCTTATTTACTAGATAAGAATATAATAAAAATTAGTTTTTAAATACATTGTAAAATAATTGTTTTATAAAAATATTAATGAGTTATATAGTTTCAAGTATGAATTTAATCTTATTCGAAGATAATTATTTTTTCTTCTAATTCATTTAAAAGAAGGTGTTATATATGAATACGATTAACAAATCATGACTGATGTATGAGTATAATT